GGAAGATGTGCCTGGGTTTCCTAGGGACGGCTGAATATTCGGAGGGTTTTAATGAGGGCAACGAGACTATTTGTGGATGTGGAGGTGTGAGGACAAGGGACATGAATTTGCTCCACTATCCGCAGACTCTGTAGAGAAGCATCGATGGTGATCTAGGCAACAAAATCAGAACTGAGGAGAATTCCCCCTACCCTGAGCCACCCCTTGAGGGCTGCACTCCAGCAGGGTGGGTATACGTGGTGGGAGAGGAGGAGTTTTAGACGGGGGATTCTGTTGCAATCTAAGTAATCAAATTATGTCACCAAAGAGATATTTATTCCTGAGAATGCCAACACAAAACAGAAGAACTGGGGCTGCTGGTGGAGAAACAGAAAGACCTCTACCCAAGCAAGCTACACAGATGGCGACTTACCTCTCGATCTATCCAAGAGCACAGTCGCTCAAGTTTACCAAGTAAATAAACCGAGTGACCATCTGCGGTGACCTGTGCTATGAAATGTCAGAGTGGAATGTTCAATCTGACAGATGATAAGGAATCGGGGACAGAGAGTCAGGGAAGAATATTCTAGGCAGGAGAACAGCAAAAAGAGAGGAAGGCTCTGCTCCGAGGTGGGAAGAATTGAGGGCTGTGGGAAGAGGAGCCAGGGGCCTGACTGTGCCAGGCTGTGGACTCACCTGTGGTTTAGAATGTACCCCATGATACAGTATGAGGATGGATCACGCTCTCGAGCATGGCGTTAACTGCTCCTGGCTCCTTCGTCAGCGTCGACAGGAGCTCATTTCTGCATCTAGCCCCAATTTGTCTGCAGACAAGGAGGAAGCTAGAGGACACAAGGCCTGGTACCTTCTGCTACCCAAGCAGCAGCATCACACCATGGAGGAAGGCAGCCACATAGGTGGGGACCCAGGACGTTATTCACAGTGACAAGGCCCATCTGTTTCTGGGGAAAGATGGGTTGTCTGCTGTGGATGTGCACTGAGCCTCGCTATTCTCTCTCTCATTCTCTCTCTCTCCCCCCCTCCTCTCTTCATCTGTATATTATGGTATGCATGCCTGTGTACACGCATGTTTGCATGTGGATGTGCAGGTGAGCATGCACATACGTGTGGAAGCCCAAAGTCGATGTTAAGAATCATCCTCCATAGCTCTTCCACCTTATTCACCGAGGACTCTCATTCCAACTCAGAGCTCATTGATAAGACTAGTCTCACTACCCAGCCTGCTCTGGGGAATGCCCTGTCTTCTGGTTCCTGAGGCTGGAATTACAGGCAGGCTGACACACTCCACATGACGCGTGCAAGGATTCTGGGGCCCCAAACTCTGAACTCTGGTCCTCTTGCTTACACAAGTACTTCAACACCTTGACCGGCTCCCCAACAACTGAGCATCACTTCTTGCTAGAAGTTTCCTCTCTCTGAGCTGCATAAGAAGACACCGCTTCTGCAGCTATTTTGTTTGTTCCTTGAGGTCACCCAGGGAGGAGCAGTGCAATAGGCTGGAGTTCAGGAAGTCAAAGTAGACCCTGTCTCAATAAATTAATTAATTAATTAATTAATAACATGTAGAGTGAGAGAGGAAGACATGAATATTGACCTTTGGCCTCCACATACATGTGCACACTAGTGGGTGTGTAAACATTTCCATGCACACATAACACACACACACATAAAAGAGAGGAAAAGAGAAGTCCAAAAATATGTCCTTGCTTCTCTCTCTCTCCCTCTCGAGATGTTTGTTTTGTTGTGATTTGATGTGGAGATGCCAGTGTGTGGGACAGTCTCTCCATGGAGGGAAAATGAGTAACACTTTCTCAGTTTGTTTACTGCGCAAACACACTCAGACACAGTGGAGGATGGAGCACCAGCTACAGGCTAGGTGACAAGAACAGGAAGAGAAACAGGAAAAGGCCCAGCCACCTTCCTCTCCAGCCCACAAGTTCACAGTAAAGCTGGGGAACATGCAAAGAGACACATCCCTGCCCTTCTGGTGAGTGTCTTAAGGGGTATGTGCAGACACACACACATGCACACACACACACGCACGCACACCTGTGTACAGCTTCTCTTGTTGTCTGGTTGAGTTTACTCCTAGGGCACCCCTACCACCACCCATCCATGCCTTTTATTATGCCCTCAGCATTCATAGATGGTGATATCCACTGCACCACTGCAAACAACGTGATGACATTTAGTCTACTTCCAACGCTGGGCAAACACAGCCACTCCCTAGCTCCGAGACACCTTCAACATTCAGCATACCCTACAACAGTCCTAAAATAACTCAGTAAGCAGGTCCTCCTCGGGCTCTGCTCTCTCGGCCACCTGTCTGCCCTCTGGCTGCCTAGATCCACCTCTCCTGAATTTTCACGGGAACAGAGTCACACATTGTGTGACCTTTCGTTTCTGGCACAGTGTTTTGGGGTTTCATGGTTATAAGGAATGTCATGTCTGTCCTTCACTTCTTATCATGGCTGAATAATATTCTACCATATGGATGGCTAGCACTGTTTCTTCATCTGCTGGTGGCCTGCCAAGCTCTGTCCACCTTAGGACTAAGGCAGACAATGCTACTATGAACACCGACACCATTCCTGCCATCCCTCCAAGTTTTTCTTTAGCTATCTAGGTTGTTTGGAATGGACATGCCTAGTTACATAGCAATTCCACGCTAACCTTTCTCTTTAATTAATTAGTTTGTTTGTTTGTTCGTTTCTTTGTCTTGAGACAGTGTCTTACTATGTATCCCTGGCTGGCTGGCCTGGAACTTCCTGAATAAACAGAATGCCCTCAAACTGAGAAAGCCCCTCCTGCCTCTGCCTCCTGGGTGCTGGTGTTAAAGGGCCTTACACCACTTTTAACGTTTGAAGGTATAGGCAAACTGGGTTCCCCAGTGACATCATCCTTTAGGAGCTCCACAGAGCCTTGTGGTTGGATGCCTCCTAGGTTCCCAAAGGCCTTCCAAGAATGGGATCTGGATGTTAAACACACCCAGCCTCTCTGAAGACATCTGTCGACCTACTTGGTCAAGGCTGAGCTAAGAATACTAAGGTCAGAGGTTCAATACCCACACTGAGCAAAGTGGCTAGAAGGGAGAAAACTATGCCCTGGGACCTGCACTCTGCCATCTAAGAATGTCCACTCCTCTTGCAAAAGCTTGTCCATAGGGAAAGGGCAGGGCAACCAAATACCTTTATGGTCCTACATAAAAGAATCCAATGGGGCTGTAACTCGGTAAGTAGTGTTTCTATAGCATGCCCCATGCCCCGAGTTTGATCCCAACACCGAATAATCTAGGTGTGATGCAGCATGCCTATTAAGCTCAGTATTGACCTGTAATGCCAGCAATTCAGTAGTAGAGACCAGAAGTATCAAAAGTTCAAGGTCATTTCCCACTATATAGTGAGTTGGAGAGACCATGTCTCAAAAACAAAAAAAGTGTACTGAAAGCACATGGGATTAACTGGCATTTTAGGATTACTTACCCTCAACCTCTCACCATCTGGTTTCTGTGGATTGATGGGCAATTGCAAAACACTGCCCAGAGCCTCAGTTTCTTCTTAAAACAGGAGGAGTACTCTTTCCCCTACAGAGTCAAACACACAAAAATGCCCCATCTTCTACTTGGTTCTCAAGAAAAACTCTTGAACCTGGAGGGTGAGTTTCCTTTAGAGCATTCCTTTGGCTTCTGCAGTTTGCTCTCAGCCCCCATCCCCAGGTTGACTGGCCTGGAATGGTGGCACACTGTTGGCGGGGTTACACTTGGCTCTTTGAAAACCTCCTATTTGCATGGAATGAAGCTTGCTATGGTAACAAGGTCTGGTGGCTGGAATCCAGGGCCCCACTGAAAAATGCAAAGCCTGTGTGTGCTCTGGGAGAGAAAGGAGCCAGGAAGGGCTTATGCAAGCTAAGGTTACCTCAATTCTTCTCAGAACGGGGAGGAGGTAAACCGAGGTAGCCCGGTTCAACATTCCTACCTCAGGAAGAAGGAGAGAAAAAGAAAGCCCCGCCACACCTCCCAACCCTTCTCTGGCCTCAGTTCCTTACTCCCACTAACGTTCAGGCCAGCCAAGCAGCTTAGGACCAGGTACAAGCTAGCCCTCCATCTAGGGGGTGCACACATTCTCGCTCTCCGGGTTGCGGGCAGGCCACAGCACCAATGGCCCGGGGTAGAGAAGGACAGCGCAGGTCAGGCACTGAGGTGGGGGTGGAAGGTGGCAGGCTCACTGTCCACCAGCTTTCCTCCCCTCTGGGCATTTCATCTCTGCAACTGGCAAAACAAGAACCCCACTCCTGAGCTCACTCCAGCAGCCCCCTCCCTCGGCCCACCATCCCACGCTCCCCTCCAGGAGGCCCCCTATGCAAGGATCCCTCTCTGCTAAGCATCCATCGCCTCCTCCGCGGCGACCCCAGCCCGGAGCCGGGCAGTAGTTGGCCGGGGCGGGGCTGCCCACCGCCGCAGGGAGGGGACAGCGGGACAGCCGGGGCCCCGGACGCACCCCTAACCCTTCCGTTGGGGGTGCCACCTCCGACCTCACACGGGCGCCGCCCTCCTCCCCCACTCTCCGGGGTGTGTCTCGGAGGTGGGGGACTCACGAGGCCGAGGAGGTCCCCAAGGTCCCCAACAGGGCCCCCTCCCGAGCGAGCCGCGAATGGTAGGCTCCACTCGGAGAGCGCCTGGCCCGGGCGGCGCACGGTGTCCTCTGCTCGCAGCTCGCCCGCCCGCCCGCCGGGGTCTCGCCGTTCGCGGCTGCTCCTCCTCCTCTCTTCCTCCTCCTCTTTCTCCTCCTCCTCCCCCCGCCGCCTCGCCACCGCCGCGGCTCGGGCTGGAGGCGCCGCTGTCATTCCTGCGCCGGAGGAGCCGGCGCTTGCCGGTGCCCGGGGGTCGGGGCGCGGGGAAACCCGGGCCGCTAGGGTGACCCAACAGGTAGAGCCGGGGCCACGGCCGGCCACGCGCCCCCAACGCACATCATGCAGCTCTTTGTCACCTCTCTCGCCCCCAGGCCAAAATCCTGAGCATGATGGAAGACAATAAGCAGCTCGCGCTCCGCATCGATGGGGCGGTCCAGTCGGCCAGCCAGGAGGTGACCAACCTGAGAGCCGAGCTCACGGCCACCAACCGGAGACTGGCGGAATTGAGCGGTGGAGGCGGTGGCTCCGGCTCGGGCCCGGGAGCTGCGACCAGCGCCTCGGCAGCAGCGGTGACGGTGGCTGACTCGGCGGCGACGACCATGGAGAACCATCAGCACAGCGCGCAAGGTAGGAAGCGCCCGGCGCCCGGGGCGGGGACCCAGAGCGTGCTCACCGGTCCCAGTGGTAGCAGGGCCCGCGGTATACGCCACTCTCACAGCGAGATGGCTTTGCCCTGTGGCTCATAACCCTTTTCGCCTGACCATGTTCACCCGATGCTCCCCAGCTTGGGAGTTGCAACACGGTTGTCATTAACGCCAACTCGGGTGCAGTGTGCATGGGGGTCACACGGTCACACCGGCCCCTGCCGGTTCGAACTAGGCGCCACTGACTGGTCCTTTTCAGGAGTCAGTGGAAAGTGCCCTTTGGAGAGCACACAGACCCCAGCTCCGCTGCAAACTTTTCATGCCTTCACCCCACAGTCCCCTACACCCCTCCAGTTCCAAAGGCCTCTTAAATGACTCCCCGAGGGAATCTTTGGGCTCTGCTGCCCTGGGGGAGTGGACTTGCTGGCACTTTTCTCCATGGACGCCAAGCCCCTTGACTGGGTTGCATCTGGAGTTTATTTTCTCCAGGCTTGAGATGGTGCAGGCAGTCCTGTATGGATGCTTGGGTCTGCAGGGAGTTTTACATTTCTAGCAACTATACGGGGAAAAGAGCGCTTCCCAGGGGGAAATCACAGACCTCAAAGGTTGATTGATGGCTGTCTGGAGGAATGGAGGCTTGAATGGTGGGTTGCTAGGAGCCCCTGTTTGAAGGACCCTCTGCAGTTTAGAGGAAGGGGGAAGAAAAGACAGCTGGCCAGTGCTGACATTGAGACATGACACTTCTGAACCCCTAGTAAGGGTTAACGGTGTGATATAAGGTGGTCCTGCCATGCATGGTGCTTTCTGAGAGTTGGGAAGCAAAAACTGAAGCAGGCTTTTCAGGATCCTGCATTCTTCCCTCCCACCCTGCTCCCCTCCATCACCCTTTAAGAAGCAATACCGCTGTTTATTTAAACCATTCAGATTGTAATCTAAATGGCTAAAAATTCAAAGGGATGGAGAGAAGAAAAGAAAACCCTCCGGTCCAAGAGGGTCACCTGTATAAATGTGTCACTTGGATTGTAAGGTACCAACGCTCAATGGTTCAGAATGATTTTCTGGTTCTGCTATCTCAACAGCTCCTCCTGAGTGTTGAGAGAATGTTTTTTTGGGGATGCCTTCAATGGCTCCATCGGTCTGTTTTGGCCTTACCTTCATGAGAAGGTATGTCTTTGCCCTGTGAGATTTGCAGCTTCAAGATTTGCAGCTTTGTGAATTCTAAGTCAAACCCTAACTTGGTACTTCCAGCGCCTGTTGGGTGTCTTTAGGAATCGGGCGAGTAATTTGATCATGATGTAATGGCGAGAAAGAGCTGTGGCCCTGGTGTTTGCTACGGGGTTTTCACGGTTGGCATCCGGTTGTTCTTGTCATCCATCCCTGGTTATGTCATCGTGTGAGAGAGAGCCATAGGTGAGAGAAGGCAAAAGCAGACTGGACAACGCTTTTGGTTTCTGTAAGCGGCGGCTGTTCAAACATTCCAGAACTCCCTAAGAACTGGCATTTTTCTGAGAAGGGACATCAAATAGTCCTGGGACATTCCCACCATCCTCTCGTTCCTGGACAGGGAAAAAGTTAAGTGCCTTCGTCTGAGTGCTGGTTGCGCCGTGGACTGGGTGTGCGAAGGAATCCAGGGTGCCTTGCTGGCACCCTTCGCTTGGAAAGTGAGAGACTAAGGCTGGCATCACGATGACTAAATGGTTGGACAGGCACAACAGGGGGTGTTTCCTTTTTCTTTTCTGTTTTGTTCTGCTTTGCTTTTTCCTACTAAGATGTACAAGGCTACAGTCATGGAAGTGGCTTTGGTAATCACTCGATGTCTTTAAGAACACACGCCACCAGTAGCTCCCTGTGCCCGTGGGAACCTGTGTACCTGCCTGACCATGGCTGGCAATGGGTAGGTAATAGGACAGAGGAGGAGGGTCTGGTTTCTGTAAGTACCGCTGATGGTTTTCAGAACTTGGACAGTGAGCCCTTTGTGACCAGATAATCAGAATGTATGCTCATGATTTCTAACTGAACACATCTGTGGGTCACATGTCCATTCAAGTTAGTATGACTAAGTGGGTGAGGTGGGTGGGAGAAATGCAAAACTACTGTGTGAGACCACTGGGCATTGACTCATCTATAGTAACAGCGCCTCAATCCTGGGATAGATGTGTCCACGCGTGCGTGTGTGTGTGTGTGTGTGTGTGTGTGTGTGTGTGTGATGGGTCATTTAGTCTTTGTGAGGTTTTGCTTTCATTCATTTTGTTTTTCTGGGGGACTCTGGCACTGTTTTTCTAGAAGCCCTCAGCAGAGCTGATTTAGTCATCCCTTTAGCTAAAGGGGAGCCTTGCCTTTTTGCAAGCTCATTTTTAAGTATGGCTGGTCACCTCCACTCCTGTCCTTCCTGACAAGGCACCAGGATGGTGCAGGGAAGCTGGACCCCTTGGGATCCTGGTCTTCCAGGTTAGAGTCACCCGTGAGTTTACATCTCGCCTGCACAGAAGCCGCTCAGCGGGACCAGACCCTAAGGATGCCCGGTGCAGTTAGGCTGTCAATTCTCACATCGAGGCTTTGAGCGAAATGAGTATCTTTCAAAATACAACTGTGTAAGTCACTTTTAGCTAAAGTGCATATGTAAACATTAAGAGTGTGTTCGTATGCCTTTAACAATATTAGCACAAACGATTACAGGAAAATGCCACCTTTTACATCCTCACTCCCCACCAAGAGACTCTCAGGTCCATTTTTAGTTGTTTTTTTTTTTAAATCCCTTTTGGAAATGAATAAAGGGAGTGCATCACTTCATTGCTGGGGACTTTTGTGCTGGGGAGACCACTGGGTTGGCGCCTTGTGATGAAGCAGACTTGGGTTTTCCTAGAGGGTTAAGGCAGCGTGTCGTTTAAACAAAATATTAACTCACTTGGGTAGCCCGTGTGAGCGGGCATGGTTGCTATGTAACGGAATCTAGAAAGTGAACGGCTGGAAATCTGGGCTCTCGGCACTTCGCAGGATCTTCTTTCGGAATTTCTGTTGAAAGAGCTCTTGGCAGCGGGCCCATCGCCTCTCTCCTGTTGCAAGAGAAGCTGGATAATCCTAAGGAGGACTGCAGGCCAGCCGCGCCAAGGGCATCCGTGCCGGGTGGCGCATTTCACAGCCCCAGAGGCCACCTCTTAGGTTGATGGGGTCACAACTGTGTTTGACAGGTGGACAGAAAGAGGCTTCATTTGAAGAAAAAAATAAAAGCACTCGAAATACAGAGCTAAGCATTTGTTTCAATTCATCTTGTTGTAGGAAGGGGGTTGCTTGAAGTAGCATTTCTAAACTGTTTTCCTAGCAGTACCCAGCTCTGGGAAAGTGTATTTAAAATGCTTGCTGTTCTTTGAAGGCAAAATATAGCAATTTGCTTCTCTGAAAATGTTTTATCTGATGAATGACTAATATTAGATTCAATTGGCTGCGTTGCTGTGCATAGAATAAAACAATTAAGAGCCATTACACCCAATTTAAATAGGTGTTAACTGTATAGAACATAAAATGCTTTCGCCAGCAGGACGGATGCTTACTGCCTCGAGTTTACTGTTTATTTGGGGTGTGTGCACATGCATGCCTGTGGGTGCCAGGAGTCGGTGTTGGGTGCCTTCCTCAGTCATTCTCCGCTTATTTCTTGGGACACAGTTGCTATGTGAACCCGGCACTCACTGATTGGCTAGACTGACTTGGCCAGTGAGCTCCAGGTACCTTCCTGTCTCTGCCTCCCCAGTAGTAGGATCGCAGGCACATGCTACTGAGCCCAGCTCTTGTCCTTAGATGGTGGGGATCTGAACCCTAGTGCGCCTGCTTGTGCGGGGAGAGCATTTTACTGATGAACCCTGTCCCCAGGCCCCACTGGCAACTGGGGCTACAGAAAGTATTTTACTTTGGTGCTGGAGCAGAGGAAGGGCGGTCCTTGTCTCCTGCAGTTGTTAAAATGGGAAGATGGGAAGGCTCAGTCTCCGTCTCTGTCAATTTTTATGACTTCACACAGGTTGTATTTCCTTCTCAAGGCGTTTGCCTAGGTCTCGTCATCTCCTCTGTACTAAACACTGAAAACTCTTTGGCGAGGTGCACATTCCCTTAGGAGCGGCGTGTACGAGGAATCCACGGAGACACTAGACATTGCTGTCCTACAAAAGAACTTCTGTGCCTTGGAACCTGCTTCTCCGTTCACTCTGCTTTCGCTATCGTTTTCTAGGGGGTACTTTTTTTTGTCTGCTTCAAAAGAGGGCATTTCCCAGTGGCAGACAGGGTGCAACCTAGGCATATGAGGACATCTCTGAGGCCCCTCGCTCTTGGTCTTTGCAAATGGGCTGAAGGGCTGTGTCTTTGCCTAACCTGGAAGGCAGGGATGTATAGTTCCTTCTGAAAGTTACTGCCCAGAGTCACCAAGACATTGCTTACGGGAGAGATTGAGATTAGTTATTAGCCTATGGTTTACTATCTTCCCTTTGTTTTTAAAGATGTCTTGGGAGGGTCCCTGGAGTTCAGTTTCTAGTTCTGTTTCATATTGTGACATTTGTTTCGCGTGCGCGCGCGCGTGTGTGTGTGTGTGTGTGTGTGTGTGTGTGTGTGTATGTGTATGTCTTTCCAAAACCTCTTTGATGTCAAGGGGAAGTCTCAGCTGGTCTGATTTTCACAAGAGGCCCACTCACATCTCAGTGTGAGGTGGCCAGGTTCTCCACACCTTCCCCCTCACTCCTCAACCCCAATGGCACCTTTCGGGGATCCCACAGGGTTCGAATTTGTGACTTCCTGGCTGCCAGGGAGAGGGTAACAGATGGGCTTGGCAGGTGAGAATTGCTCACTGGAAGTCTGCCTGCCCACCCTGTAAGCCATGTGGAGCACAGAAAATCAAACTCGGGGTCTTGGACACATCCACTGGGTATTTTATGTGTGTATCTGGCATTTACTCCCGTGTCGTACAGCTAAGAAGGGAAGGGGCAATAGAAATGCCCCCACCTACCCTTTACAACCCTCTGTACCCATCATAATGAAGACATGATATAATAACCTCTCATACTAAGTCTGGTTAGCAGTCCAAATCTGGGAGGGGGAAGTCTACTAGTTGGGCTGCCTAATTTTGATTATCAGCTCGGCCCACCTGGGGAGCACGAACCTCATTTAAGGAACTAGCCCCATGGGATTGGTCTGTGGGCATGTCTGTGGGGCATTTGCTTGATTGATAACTGACCTAGGAGGGCCCAGCCCACCGTGGGTGATACCAACTCTAGGCAGGTGGGTGTAGGCTGTGTATTAAAGGTAGTTGAACGGGAGCCTGGAAGCAAGCCAGTTAGCGACTTTCTTCCCTCATCTCTGCCTCAGTTCCTGCCTGTAGGCCCCTCCCCTTGATCTCCTGCCCTAGCTTCCTTCGATTGATGGGCTGTAACCTATAAGCCAATAAGCCCTTTCTTCGCTAAGCTGCTTTTGGTCAGAAGGAAATGAGGACATTTACTTGAATCCCGTATCTTTAAGACCAAAGTTTTGAAAGGCCCCTAGCAGTAGAGAACTCTGTGTGTGTGCATATGTATTTGCATATATGTGCACATGTGTATATGCGTACCACAGTCCTTTCAACTTGGAAGGTCTCTAATCATTAAAGACTCAAAACTAAGCCATGCCAACCATGACTCAGCATCGTGTTGCAATTGTTGGAATGTTCTAACAATTCCCATGGATTGAAAGATGTGTACATTGATTGTAGTCAGAATTGAAAGGGTCCAGATCCATCACCTCAGAGTCCTGCATGCTCTGAAATGGTCTACCTGAACTCTGGGCCTTGGCCTCTCATGCACACACATGGCTTACATGTACACACACACGCCACATAGATCAGACAAGATGGGAGGGAACTCATTCCGCCTGTTAGACCCAAGGATCTGGGTTTTAAGCGATCTTTCAAATATGAATTAGCCCATATTGTTTGGGTTAAATATCGGGGCAAACAACATTCAAGATGATACAGGTGACCCCAGCGTATCACACAGCCTGTTAATGCCCCAAGGTACAGGGACGCAGGTTCAGATAGAATCCTTTAAGAAGGGTCAGCGTCCCTGACGCGACAGGGTGGTCATCCACGGTGGCAGAGTGTACCTAGTGGATGCTTCATAGCAGGGTACGTTCCCCCTCTCCAACCAAAATTGCCATCTCTGCTCTCCCTGCCTGGCTCTACCCCTCCTACATAGAAGCCGGCGGGAGACCCAGGCTCAGAACGCTCCTTCTACCCTATGAGGCTGGACGAGACCTGATGATGTTGCTCATTTGATGCCCCTCAGATCCGAGTGGTGGCACGCAGGTGGTACTCTGTGGGCCTCCCTGCTTCCCCCTTGGAATACTCAGCCTCTGCAGACATGAAAGACGCTGGATGGAGTCTGAGTGAGTTTGGCAGCAGCAACCGTCCGAGCAGGTGGCTTCTGTGTAAAAGGAAACCATGGGTTCTAAATTTATTCTGGTGTCTTTGTTGAGGTGGTGCCAGACCTCTGGGTCAGGCTCCTAAAAAGCCCTTGACCCCTTTCCCCCCTCTGATTAATGGGGGCCCTCACCCCAGAACTCGTAACAGCTCTGCCAGAAAAGAGGCCCTGGCTTCTGTTCCCGTTTTAGATGATACTGTCAGGCCCAAGGACAGAGACAAGTTGTAAGAAGATGATGCCCCTCTCAGCTGCCAGCCCCTACCCCTTCATCCATGCATGTGCTCAGGGACCCCTGTAGGGACGGCGAGGCCTTCCTCAGTCAATATTGCCTCAGCTGTACCCAGTGCTTGAAGTACAAGAATCCTTCAGTGGGATCCAAACGGCTTTTGGAAGGAAGCCGGCTCAGGGCTGATACTTTTCATTCACCTTCCGACATGGCATTGTGGTTCTCCAGGAGCACCTCTGAGGTAAGTGACAAGGCACCCCAGTGCTCCAGGTCTCCTAAAGCATGGCCTCACTCCTTTCTGGATATTCGACTCTAGTTGGAAACGAGAACTAATTTCAACGCCTTTGTCAAAGTTTTCAATAAATCATAATAAGCATATATACTGCATGAATCCCAGGCCCAGTAAGGCCAACACTTATACCCAGTTTGGGGTAAAGTTTGGGGTAAAGGAAACCATGTCTCAAAAAGGTAAAGTCCCATCTGTAGTGACATGAAAATGACCAAGATGGTGACAATGTCAGGTACCATGTGTTAATGCTTCCTATGGCAACCATGGGTCCTTGTAATGACTTAATAAGCAGGTACCACTCTAGTACCCATTTCTTGCATAAGGAAACTGAGGCATAAAGATGCGATGGTACTTGCCAAAGAACATGTAGCTCTTATAGGACCAAGACCTGGCTCCAGTGTCCCTGTCCTCACTCACACAACACTTGGGTACCTAGGGTCAGTCCACTACCACATGCCAAGATTAAACCTACAGGTCCCTCTGCTATTTAAGCCTGTGCATGCTCCCTGGCTGTCTCCTAAGCAGGAGGCATCCTTAGGTTGGCTCTATTGAGAGGCTGTGGAGCACTCCATAAGCCTCCTCTCCCAGATGGCCTAAGGTTGGTGGCATTTTAAGGGTTGTTTGCAATCAAACATCAGGCCCTCTTCCTAAGGGAGTGAACTTGCCAACAAGGAGACAACTGGGGCTGCTGGAAAGGTTGGTGGCCATGGGGTCAACAGTGGAGGGAAAGTGTAGGAGCTTGGTTTGGGGAATTTCTGATTCCTTGGACCTCATGTGATTTCTGTTCTAAACAAAACTGGAATTTGGGGATTCCCTTCCAACCAAGGCCCCTGTTCCCCCTCAGCTTCTCCTTTTATGATCTCAGGAACTTCCCATGGCCCCAAACATTCCCAGCTGTAGACCACTTGACTTCTCACAGACCCCTTCCCCAGGGTCCTCATCCTCAGCTGTCAACAGTGCATGACATTTCCTTGTTGCTGTGGCCTTTCTGTGCCTTGTAGGCTTACCCGACACCAGTAGTTCTCTCCGTACCCAAGTTGCGATGACCAAGGAATGTCCCCAGAAGTTGCCACATGTCTCTTTGGGCCAAAATTGTCCCTGGATGTGACCTCAGGCGAGGGTCATCTCAGATTGACAGTGCCTAGAGGACTGAGGCGTTTCCTGTTTCCCCTCTGCTTCC